AAAGTGTTAACAAACTATCCCACACACCATTACATCCCCACCAGCTGCCTGAACCATACAAGACGGAGTGGATTCATGCTGTCGTGTTATTTATACTAACTTCCACATCCACACGTGGTTGCAGAAACTGAGACTGATCAGACTAGGCTATGTTTTTGTGAGCCTGCGCAAATTGTACCCTTGGTTTCCTGTTCTTTGCTGACAGCATGGCACCCCGTGTGGTCTTCTGCTGCTGTGGCCGACCTGCTGCAGGGTTTTCCCTTCAGAGATGCTCTTCTGGTTGAAACAAGTGCTTATTTGATTTACAGTTTTCCAGTCTGGCCATTCAGCTTTAACCTAAAATAAACATCACTGGATATTTTCTCTTTTTCTGACTTTTTCTCTGTAAACTGTAGAGATGGTTGTGTGGGATCAGCAGTTTGTGAAGTACTCGGACCAGCCTGTCTGCCACCAACAACAAAGCCACAATTATGGAGGTCCCTTTAATCACCTTTCTTCCTCCTTCTGATGTTTGGTTTGAATTTCAACAGACCGTCTTAGCCATCTGTACACGCCTCAACGCCTTGAGTTTGATTTGATTGAATCTTTATTTTGAACATGTTGAAAAAGTACAACAACATAGAATTAAAAGAGACAAATGAACAAAGCAAAACAAAAGGAAAACGAGCAACCACAACTACAAATAACTTTCATGTTCAAAAAGGAGCAGGAAGAAGCATAAGCTTAGTTGCTGCCATGTTATTGGCTGACTGGATCTTTGCATGAATAAATGAATGAAGCAGTTGGATGTAACAAAGTGGCTGGTGAGTATATCGTGCCTTTTATGTCGATATTTTTCTAACCCCCTAGAACAACGAGTAAATGTCTGTTGTTGTCAGACCTCAAACAATTACAGCAACTGATTGCCTCAATGGTCCAACCTTCACTATCTGTCCTCTGCACATGTCCAGACTATCACAACTTCATGCAACAACTATGACAGGCTATCTGTCAGCTGTTAGTACAGTCCTTCAGACATGCCCACTCTGAGTGCTAACATAAGGAGACAAAGTTACAGTTTTATTATATAGTTTATCATATTAGAATTTAGTAACTGTGAAGTTATAACAAATATAATAAGTGGGCTAATCTCAAAAAAGAGTCCATATTAATCAAAAATTCAAAAGAGAGAAAATGTCAAAGAAACTCCAAATATTTAACTAGTACACTTTAGTAAGCTGGCACTGTTCCATGTGTTTCATCACTTTGCTTATAGAAAGACGTTTTGGTACAAAGACAACATTGTAAAAAGCTTCTTGACACTGAAATATAATTTTCATTGAATGTGTTGTTAGACTGAAACAAAGCGAAACGTTTGATAAAGTAGTTCTAAGCAGCAGCATACGCTAACATGCTGCCTTTTAGTATTTTGTGCACACTTTTGTTAGCTTCTGTAGTTTCTATAAGACTAAAAACTGTTACACGTATGAGGTAGTAGGTCCTAGGTTGGCGCCATTGTGTTGCGCCTACATTTCCCATAATGCAGTCGGGGCAGCTCGTTTCCGGTCCTGCGCCGTTTCTGGAGCGGATTGGAACCCGGAGTCAGGATTTGGTAAATGAAGGGGTTTTGCAGAAAAGGTAACGTGTTTCCCGACCAATACACGCCGTCTTTCTACCAAATGGAGACGCAGTTTGGTAGTAAAGGTGCAGCTGATCCGTCCGGTTCGGTCCGAGTTTACCCGAAACGCCTCCACCACACACTGGCGGCCGTTGAATAGCATTGACTCCGGTTTGGGGGTTTGCGTCTCCGGTCCATCCGCCATGCCGACTGTTCTTTGTTACATTTTAGCAAAGAGGAGCCGCTCAGATCGGAGTTAAAACCCGGCTAGAGTTTGGGAACGACTCAAATCCTGGATCCCGTCTATTCTCCGGGCTGCATATGTTCAAATACACGCGTCAACTGTTTCGCGTAGACCAAAAACCAGTTAATGTTTTCATAAGACACTAGTGTGCAGCCGGTAGGGCTGATGCATTCACGTACACCTGAAGGGTCCCACATTAAGCGATGAGCAGGCTCAGAAGTTCAGTTACATCCTGAAACACTCGTTAAAGTACTTCCTTCGTGTAAATGCAGTAAAACTGAGCGCGACCCGGCTGCTGCTCTGCTCTCTGCGTGCTTTCTGGTAAACATGCAAACACTTTCCCTCTCTGTAGGTTGGCATAATGGCTGAACAGACACCAGATGAGTTCATCTGTGAGTATGACTCCAGCCCTTACTGTGTGTGTGTGTGTGTGTGTGTTAAAGCACTATGAAGACAGATGTGATGTGTGTATCTGACAGGGTGCGAGGACTGTGGCCAGTACCATGACTCTGAGTGTCCTGAACTTGGGCCGGTGGTGACTGTCCAGGACTCCTTCGTCCTCAGCCGAGCTCGGTGAGTGACAGCTGGAGGTGTCAGGTGGGGGTTTGGGCCATTCTTTGAACTCAAGTTTCTTTTTAAAGATTCAATCAGAGCAAAACCAAAGAAGGAGAAACATCGATCCCTGCTAGCGCTGACGTCATCCTGACCTGTGAAATCACAAACCCCATTCATGTGTCACCTTATTGCTGTTCTAGACCTTTAGATTGTCCAAGTATCCCACTGTGGGTGGTTGTGTTTCTGCCACTTGAAGCTTCATCCTAAATGTGGAACTTTTTAAACCCTTTAAACATAATAGATTTCTCACTCTATGCTTTCTTCTCACAAGCATACAGCTGCCTTCCTCGAGCCTCAGCCTGCAGTTTCTCACTCTCTCTTTCTCTGATATTTTGCATCATTGGGGCTTCTGTCTATAATATTGCACAAAATTGCTCAAAAGGGGAGGACACACCATTTTTCA